ATTATAAGTAGTTTGTGATTCACTAACTTTTTACTGTTGCTTGATTTCCGATGGCAAAGGAAAGACCAGTTTTACTTTCTCTAATAGGTAAACAGATTCTGATGTTTCCTCATGATCCCTCCCCAAGAAGGCAAAAATGGTGAGGTTCATGATTAAGCTTGTGTTCAATCTTTTACTACTAGTTACACATTCCGATTTGATTTACTTGTTTCAATTTAATTTTTTTGCTTAGAATTTCATCAAATGATTTTATATAATAAATAAATAAAACTTAAATTTTTTTATATATAATTTTTATTGAGTATTTTTATTTAGATCAAAAGAAAGTTTCAATCATTATTCATTTGCTATATAAAATCATTAATTAATTTATATAAAATTGATGAATTATGACAACTAAAAAACACTAAAAGGGGTAGAAATTTTTTTTTTTTCCAAGGAATATTATTAGAGATGAGAAAGCGTTAGTGCTTGGATTCGAACCCGGACTTGACTATCTTAGCACATTCTCTTCAAACACTTGCATTTTACTGTTCAAAGAAAAAAGATATGCAAAGATCACGCATGTTACTATTTACTTTTTTTTTTTTTGGCAATTAAAACTATGAGGATGTTTGATAAAGTTTAAAAAGTAAATTACTCATAAATCTAAAATTTTAAAAAAAGTTTAAAAATTAAATTTTAAGGTAAATATAAAAATTAAACATTTTAATTATTTTCAAATTTTACTTAAAAATTACAGTAAAAAAAGTTAAATCTTAAATTTTTTTCTACCAAAATTTTATATTTATAAAAAACTTACTTTTAAAACCCCAACAACACCAGGCAAATATCAGAACATAAGGACAAAGCCAAAAGCCCACAAATTCAAGAAGTTCCGTCCTACTCAATAATTAATTTTAAACTTTTCGATACATGCATAATGCGTAACACTTCTATTATTTTAAGGTCACCACAAACTTACTCTTCTTTCGTTTTCTATTTTTCTCCCTTTATTTAATTTCCTTAGGGGTGACATGACAGGAACAGCTCATTTAAAAATGATGATTGAAAATCATGGATTTGACTGGGAAAAGGCATGCACCAATAATTGGCTGTGGTTGTCCCTACATAAAATAAAAATTGTTATCCTCACATAAATTTTAATTTTTTTTTATAATTAGAGGCAATGTTTAAAAATATTAATTATAAATAAATTTTAATATATTAAATAATAAATGTTAATTATTTTATTAATTATTAATAAATAACTATAGATATTAATTATTATTAATTAAATTAAATTAAATTTTATATTTTTAAAGACAAGATACTTGATCATAACAATTTCATACAATAACTAGCCTCAGCTCCCTCACTCCTTATTCATCCACTAGTACTCCGTTTTCTTCTGCACCTAAATAAAAATGATTTGCATACTCTCTATTTAACATATTTTTTAATATATTTTTAGTTTAATTATTAAAAATATAATATAAATACAATCAATTCAATTAATTTTTATATTATTTATATGTAATTATATTTTTTAATTTATTTATTTTTAATTTAAAATTTAAAATAATAATTTTTTAATAAATATATCATACAATATATTAAATTAATATATATATACCAATTACTATCCGCATTTAAATAAGCATGTGCAA